CCCCAAAACCCCAAAACCCCAAAACCCCAAAACCCCATATATATGGAATATAATTGAGTCAATCATAATAATATAACATTTTCAAATGTTTTTAGACACTAAAGAAAGCTTTTTCAAAGAATGCTCTGATGAACCACTCTTGTTTGGACAAGAGGCCCAGCCAGAAGTAAACTTGTTTGGCCTTGGAGGTTTTGACAACACTAACTCTCAAACAGACACAGAGAAAAGCATTTTCCCTTATTTTAAAGGCTCTGGGCTCTTTATCCGGGACTCTGATGAGAGATTAAGTTTATCAGAGATCTCCAATATCCATGCTCCAATTCTGGCTGGAGTCGATCTATACTCAAGAACTGATGATCTGTTACAAATTTTATGCAAAGAAGTTGAGCTTCCAGCTGTTGAAGTTTACTTCGACAATAAATCTGAACAAATTATTGTCAAGAACAAATCTTTTGAAGGACCTGAGGTTGAGGCTGTTCTCCATCCAGAGCCATCTCTCACCAAGAAGGCTAATAATCTTATCAGAGAAGAATCTAGACCATCCTCTTTTAACACAAGGGTCAGATTTTCAAAAAAGCATGACAGAGGTAAGCCTTCGTTCTTATGACTTTCAATTATTTTAACATCTAAAATCTGTAACTTTATTAGTAATTTTCTTTGAAGCTTGTCTTAACCTATTTTATAGAGATGTTCCGTATTTTGAGAGAACTTTGAGATGTCCACTGCGTCTCCCTCTCCTGCTTCTCCTTGCCAGAGGATTCCCTGCCGAAGGATGCTCGATCTGTGTTGGATAAACTAATGAAAGAAGTAAAATGGAGAACCAACAGGAAGGAAGACTTACTCAAGAGGATTACTAAATATACTACCAACTCCACTTTCTCTGTCAGAGATGGAAAGTTACTCAGACGGCTCGTGAGATCACAGATTAAGAAGGGAGAAGTTGATTACTCCTCCTTGCTCTATTACTTCCCAGGAAAAACAGCTGAACAGTTGGAACAGGAGTACTTAAAAGCAACGGGATAGAATATAATTATGCCTCGTAGTTAGGCATTAATAATACTAATTTGTTATAAAAGTTTACAAATCCTTTTCCTTGGGTTCATTATGAATCACAGTCACTCAAGGGGTTTCATTAAGTATCCAACGCTTTATAGCTAAGGTTCCTACTCAAGTCGAATTTGGTCAACATTCTAAAAATACTGACCATAATCCAGTTGAAAATGAATTATGAGAGACTGTTCTTACTCGGCATCTTTCATTCATGAGCATAATTGCAAATCAAAGCTGAGCTTTCTGTAAGAATTGCTCTTCAGAATTAGAGAATTAGTCTGGTCGTTATTTCACCTGATGCTGTCGCTCTGGGATTTTAAACTAATAACATTGCAAATACTAGGTCATTAATATCGGGAAGAACTTCCGTCAGTCAAAATTTCAATTCTAATTCATATAAGTTTGAGTAACATAACCATGCATAGAATTGAGGGACGGATGTCCAAAATAGCCGTCATGAGCTGAGGTGAATAAGTTGCAGAGTTCCTACCCATCCAGGGGTGAGCCTAATTTCTAAAGCTACCATTCCTGATTCCCGAAGAACCTTTTAAAAATCTGCAGAATCTGAATGTGGCTACATTTCCTTCTTTCTGTAATCGGAAAGGACTTTTGCTAACTGAACTTGCAATACAGAAGGTACTTCGAAGAAGGGTTAGAGAGCGTTGGTTTCTTCATTCCCTATTAGTGATATTCATCCACTAAAGAGCCATTCAAGATGTCAGCCAAGAGTCTCTACTTTTGTCAGAATTGAATACTTTTTTATCGTGGAACGATTTAAGCTAAAGATTTTATCACTTATTTTATTCTTAAATTTCTGATGGCTTCATAAAGGGGTGGTTTATCAGTAGAAACTTCATCAAGAGGGTCCCTGCTTGATTTAATGAATATAATCGCCCAAGACCACCATGTAGGAGCTATTACTAAATGGTCACATGGGTTCTTAATTATGGAGGACTGGTAGTACGAGTGATTTTACTTGCACAAATTTATATTGGCTGATACTATTGCTATTTTAAGTAAAATTATTGTTATGAAGTGCCAGTTTAGAAGGAGTACTTCACACTAAAACTCATACCTGAATAATGAAGCACCTCCCTAAAACTAGTCAGCTGAGTTCTGAGAAGTCCTGGGCTAGCTTAAGAACTCTATGGCAAATATTTTTTGATCCTTGAAGAAGAGAGAACCCCAAAAAATAACTTGCACTTCCTTGTCTATATTTTTGCCCATGGTCTGATAACTGAGCTCAGGGACTTTACAACTTATTCTGTTTTAATACTAAGAATGCGTATTCTATTGAAGGTAGCCTTGGAAAGATCCAAATAATTAAACACTCCGATGGAACAGAGACACTGAAAGGAATTATATCTCCAAGAAATAAAAATACTAATAGTATCAATGAAACCCTAAGACTAGCACTGCTCTCTGAGAATTCTGGAATCCTTTGAGCATATTTGTACTACCCACAAAGTTTCTTGGTGGTTCCACTTACTTGTAGTCAATTCTGCTCCATTTGGAGGATTGAGAAGCATAACTTCCTCTTACAGCTCTTTTCCGGAAAGCAAATTATCGTTAACAGTACAGTGACTAATTTGGATACTCATTAGAGGAATCTAGCCAAAGAAATCTCCTGGCAAATAGTTGCAGATAAACTATTTTATTAGTTGCATATCAAGCATTGGGTCAACTTCTAAAACTATGATACTAATATCATGGATGGTCGCTGTCCTTTAAAATAATGGGTTGAAGAGAATTCAACTTGCCTAAGTTGATTAATTCAGACTAAATCAGAGTTGATCTAACAAATATCTCTAAAGACTTCTTGCTCATTATTACAATCTGCAATGAGCCCTTTTCTGGATCATTGACAAATAAGGATATTCCGAGGACAACTTATCTAGAGATAACAGAATATATATGGAATATAATTGAGTCAATCATAATAATATAACATGGGGTTTTGGGGTTTTGGGGTTTTGGGG